TGACTGCTACGATTTAATATTAGGACCTGGCAACTGTTTTGATAACTTAATACTTTTTAAAAGAAAACTTGTTTGTTACTGAAGATTTTGGGAGCTCAGAAGAAATATAATCTAAAAAAACAACACAGCTAAAGATCCAAAGAGAGGTCTCTTCTTTTTCCCATTTTTTCCATTTCCTTTACCTTGAGCTGGTTCCTCCATGTGAGCACATTTAAAGGCCTTTTACCGGTGGCAGATTCAAATATCTCTGAGATATTCACCATACAAACTCAGCAAGAGTCCACGTTTTCCTCCAGCAGTGGAAAAATGGCAGGGCTAACAGTCTGGGGTTTGTTACTAAAAATGAGTCCTCACACCAAAAAAATAAAAATAAAAAATAAAAAAAATAAAAATAAAAAAAAAAACATTGTTTAGAACATGTGGTTTGCTGCTATTAAGTTAACAGTGGAAAATCTCATTACTTTTAATTTTATTTTGTGGTGGGATTGTTTTGTAGACTGTGGCAGATTTTCTCTTAAGTAGAGCCTCTCCTCCTACCTTGCAGCACTCTACTCTGCAAGCAGCTCTTTGCACAGCTCGCCTCTGTTTCAGGTCAAAGTGCTGAATTAAAAAAAGAAAACAGATTTTTCCCCATGTGTGCCTCTCATGTGCCATCCTCTCCAGCTCTTGCTCTGACAGAGGAGTGTTCCAAAGAAGACCCTGGGCTGAGGGTGCTCTCCATGCAATGCTAAGAACGTATCTGTTCCTACTGAAAGCTCCAAAGGGGCAAATAAGGCATCGGACCAATCCTGATGTCACCTCTATGCAGGAAGCCCTGTGAAGAAGCAAGGTGTAACATGGGTGGATGAAACTGGAGCTCAAAGTGGCCAGAGTAGAAAAGAGAAGATTGTAATTGTAATTGCAGATTGTCATTGTAATTGGATTTCTTGTCAAAGTTCGGAAGCCTCTCATCTGATTTCTGACTTTGGATTGAAGCTACAATTATGAGAATAGAGGACCAAATGTGCAATTTGAGGTGAAAATATTGCCAAGGCAGAAGCCTTGCTCAGAGCTTAAAAGCTTCTATATACAAACATATATATATCCTACTTATTGTGACTCAAATCTGAAACTATTATGGTTTAAAATATCAAGTGAGATTCAGGGTCACATAATATTTGCTTTCCATCAACAGCCCAGTGGATTTCCCTGTAACATATGCTTGCACATGACAAGGCTCACCCTCGTGCAGAGGTGAGCCATTACATTGTAAATTCCATTTGCAATACAATCCTTATGTAACTCAGCTTGTGTATTTCCAGATAGCCTTTTATTTTCAAGTTCAGCCATTCCCCTGGCACTCAGCACTTTTCCAGGTCCTGGTTTGTCATGAGAATTTGACATCTGCTTCCTGAATAAACAAAATATATGCACGTAAGATCACTGATGATCAGATACTATATTTCTTTTGAACATCTCTCTAGTCCCCACTTCTTAACAAAGCTGCCAGAAACTGAGCTCTGCATTCAGATGATGACTCACCCAGCCCCGCTGCTGCCAGGGTCTCACTTTTCCATCAGTGGTCATTCTGGGAGCTCAGGTCAGTCTCTCAATATTTTTTTGGAAATCAGGGAAGGAAATGGATCAGCTGCTCAGTGAATACAGGTCTTATGGGGAGTGGCTGAGGAAACTGGGATTGTTTAGACTGGAGAAGAGGAGGCTCAGGGGAGACCTTATTGCTCTCTACAACTCCCTGAAAGGAGGTCATGGCAAGGTGGGGGTCATCCTCTTCTTCCAGGCAACAGCAATAGGATGAGAGAGAATGGCCTCAAGTTGCACCAGGGGAGATTCAGGATGGATATTAGGAAGAACTTCTTCCCAGAAAGAGTGGTAAAGCATTGGAACAGGCTGCCCAGGAAGGCACTGTCCCATGAGGTGTTAAAGAATCATGTAGATGTGGCATTGAGGGACATAGTGGGTATGATGAGGATGAGTTGGTGGTTGGACTAAATGGTCCTAGAGGTTTTCCAACCTTAATGATTCTATGATTCTTTGATTCCATGAAGGGAGGAACTCTGACTAGTCTGAATTCCCAAACACTCAACAGTGCTCGGCTAGAAGTGCCACTGTATGGGCACAGCTCGTATGTTTGCTTCTATCCAGCTGCACTATGATTTTACAAAAAGCTAAAGCAAAGCAGAGGGCTGCTCATTGCTTCATTTTGAATAAGAGTGCCTGGGGAGTAGGCGTCTGATGTTTGCAGTGGCATGAGCACCTGCAGTTTGCAGGCTAGCGTGGAGGAGCAGCAGATGTTCAGCATCTCTGCAACATCAGGCCTTGAACTAAACACACATGATTTCAAAGATGACCTTCCAGGGGTGCAGTGAGTGGCTGCTGCCATTTCAAGAGTGGGTGCCATTTAGAGCATTATCAGAGGTTTAGGAAATGAATTCAGAGCTGGATATGAAAACATATTGATCATCGCCTTAGAGATGAACAAAAGTTAAATGTGACCAGGCTGAGACAGAAAAACATTCATCTCTTGACAGATGTCCAAAGTACCAGCTGAGACTGAGAGCAAGCACTGAGACCTTGATGATGGTGTGATGCTTTGGAGCTGCACTACCCATAGTGAAACCAGCTCAATTTTGACATCTGCTACATGTGCAATTTAAAAGTGAACTTGCAAAATGGGGATTATTTTGAGAGCTAAGTGAAACTAGCTTGTTCAGTCTGTAGAGCTCTTGGGTTCACTTTCTTACGTTTTACTTTGTACAGTTCTATACACCAAGAGTTTTGCTTTGAGTTTTAGGTTGAAACAAAGCAAAACTGATCACAAAGCACTGTATTTTGATTTTTCAGATTGAAATTAGGTCTCACACAGAAATTTTCAAAAGCCAAAGTGCAGAGCATTGGTAGCCTGCATTTCAGCCCAGTCCGTTTCCAAGCTGTCGGCCTGAGGCTCAGAGCCAAGTTTTCCTTACATGCACTGATGCTGAGAGCTGCTTTCTCTGCGCAGTCCCACATCCACACAGAACTCCCTAAAACCACCCGATTTTGCAGTTTCTTCCAGGAATAATAGGTGAAGCCATCCCAGCGTTGTTAGATTTAACTAACGTCAAATAGTGCCAAGTTAGTAATTGCTACCTTCAATATTTGTTTCTAGCTAAGTCCACAAAAATTATTACAAAAGCACATAAATCCCGAGCTACAGTTAGCACTATTTTCTGCTAGACCGAAAGCCGCATGCTTACCTTTATTATAACAGACATGTCTTGCCAAAAGCAGTAGGGCAGAGTGTCCAAAACACCCTCCTGAAGAAAGCTTTGAAGAAACACCTACTTAAACATACTTTCAGCCTTTATTTTATCCACTTTGCACATTTATTTTCTTAGCAGCCCTCGAGCCCAATGGTTAACACGTTGGATTATCGTTCTTACTGGCCACAGAAAATCATTTCTGTCTCACTTACAACACAGCTTATTATCATACTTCCATGCTCATCATTTAACTTTCCACTATATTAATAAGCTGGGCTGGTTTTACCCAGTGAGCAACCTAAACCTTCTGACTTTGACAGAAACCTTGTGTGCTTATTTCTCTTTCTAACCATCAAAGAAGGTCACTGAGCTACCCTAGGTATCAGCATTTTTCCTGTGTGATTCACTCACACCAAGCAAACCCTCTAGACCAACATTTCTTCCGTTTCTGAATTTGTACTTAACCAATAGGATCAACAGGCCCCCTTCTCCGTGGGTGGTGATAATGTCAGTACACCACTGCCCAAATAACCTTTCTCTATAGGGAAATGCTAACATTTAATTCTTTAAATTTAAACCACATGTATTTTGGTCTCATAACCGTACTCTGCATTAACTGCCTTTTGTTATTAATTTGTATCACTAAAAACCCTAATGAAACCGGTTATTTAAATTGGAAATGTTAAGTGCAGTAGACATCTAAAATTTGGGTATGAGCTATAATACATCAAAATATTTAAATAGTAACTAAATATTTTACCTAACCATTGTAAACACATTTGCAGAATTAATAATGACACAGCCCTGCGTATGTTCAATGTAAAGCCATGTCTCCAAAGAGCTGTTCTCTTCAGTCCTTTGCAGGGAACATAAGCAACAGCCAGAGAGGCTTTTGAATGGTTTCTATCAGTTACCTTCATCTTACCCAGAAACAAAAAGTGCCATTTAAGTACTGCGTATGTGAGACTTCCGCTAAGGAGAACAAATTACGTGTGAGTTGGCCACATGCTATTTTCCTCCTGGTGTTCTCTGAAAGAGACGCTGCCACTGTATACAGTCCTCACAAACATTGCCGTGGGGTGACCACAAACACACAGCTGCCAGCACAGTGCAAATACTGACATTTGGGACCAGGACTCAGGGACTCTTATTCAGACAACAGGAAAACGAGATAATTCCTCAGCAAAATGTAACACGATTGAAAATGTTTAAAAAAAAAAAGAAAAGAAAAAGAACAAACAGTCAAATTAGGTCTTAAAAATTTGGGGGGAGGAGGGTAAATTTTTATATTTCTTCAGTATTAACACATGATCTAGATAATGGTTGCATCGCCCTCTGCTTACAGTTATTATTCTAATTACATGTTTCGTGTCTCAGCATAAAGACTTATAAAACCTTAAACTGCCAATCACAGAGTTTCGATACCAGTCCATTATTTTTTGAATTGCCTTTTTCAAAGCATACACTACCTCCCAGGTGCAGATTTACACCATCTTCTTTGGTTTTTAAATAGGAATTCTGTAACTCATTCCACAAGCCAAACAGTTCACTACTGCAGAATCTTCTTCTGGACCAAAATCGCTGAATCATAGAATCATAGAATTGCTCAGGTTGAAAAAGATCTTCAAAACCATCGAGTCCAACCATGACGTGACCATACTACCCTAACTCTAACAACTCTCCACTACATCACGTCCCTGAGCACCACATCCAAACAGTTTTTAAACACATCCAGGGATGGTGACTCAACCACCTCCTTAGGAAGCCTATTCCATTGCTTAACAACCCTTTCTGTAAAGAAATGTTTCCTGATATCCAACCTAAATCTCCCCTGGCTCAACTTGAAGCCCATCTTTCCCTATTCTGTCTTGGGGAGCTCACTGGGGCTGGTAAATCACACAAAAAAACAGCAGTCATTGAAAGTGGCTGCAGTAACAAGAGGCATCCTTGGGGCTTGGTCACCGATTTCAGGACGCTTAGGTTGCAGCTCTCCATGGCTTCCTATAATTCTTTCCCATCTCACAGTTTTTCGGTTATATAATTCCCGGTCCATAAAATGCTGTTGCACACTCTGGGATTTGGTAAAAATGTTCAAAATACCATTGCTCCCTTCTAAAGAGACAAACCAGTCCTGGTTCTCTGTAGGAGTGTTCCTCTACCTTCCTCCTGCTCAGACTGCTGGCATGAGTGATGCAAGGAGAATGTTTGTTTCTCCTCTCCCACAGTCACTGCTGCTGTGCCTGGGGGTTCATCCTGGAAAAGAATCATACAGACTCAGTAAAAAAAAAAAGAGTGAACAAGAATAATTTTTCTGCTTCATTTGCAAATTATAGAATTAATATTTACACGATTAAACCCGATTTCCTGATTGCTTTGTGGGTCACCCTACACCATGCTATTTTCTGTAACAATTTGACTTTTAAACTTCTGCAACAATAATCCAAATTCCTGTCGATCATAATGCTACTGACCGATAAAAAACAGTTCATGGGAAAGTTTTATCTGCCTATACAATCCTCATTGATTGCCTGTAGTGAATTTCACACACAGTTTGCTACCCTCTCACAATTTTAGCTTCATTATGAGTTATAGATATATGCACTATGTTGTTTTTATATGTTATATTCTAGAAGAACATTCAGTTCAGCATTGTACAATGCCTATATAACCACACCAACTAATATATTCAAGGTTTTTAACTTCCCTTCTATTCAGCAGACCATCAAAAATGAACCTGATTAACATAGCTTTGTAATTACTGCATGTATTTCTCTAACTCTCTGTAGCTGAGTGCCTGGTACCTGAAGTTACCACTTTCTTCATCAATATTAGTTTGCTGCATCATGCCCCAATCTGAGGAATTATGCTTACTTTTTCCAGACTCCCAACACTGTTGAGCCTCCAACCACTGTATTCTTGCTGGGAAGCCCCATTTTCTCAGTCAGAGCCAGCGCGCGTCATCTGCAAGGGAAAGATGGACTGTTCAGTGCCCCAAGCCCTGAGCCTCACAGCTGTCTTCTTGTGCTCTCCCGCAGCATCAGCATCTCCCCACCCGCACACGGGTTCAGCTCAGACACCTTAATTCAAAACAGACCCTTGATGGCATCCTGTTAAACACAATAACCCTCTACTTGCTAGATACGGAATTACTTTCCTGCCCCTACTCCTTGTTAAACATGGATAAAACACCTTAGGTGGAATTACTTTCACAGCTGTGCCACCTTTGATTTTGTTAAGCCTTTATAAAGGTGTATTGCTGTTTTTTTTTTTTTTTACGGCGTTCTTCTACAGCTGTATCAAAGTTCAGATGCCCACAGGAAGGTACCCAATGCCCTCTGGAGCAACCCAGAGTATCTGCAGCACCTGTAGTGGGTTGACAATGACAGCGTGGGACCTACAGGAGATCTGCACCACTGAACTGTCAGCAAGAGGCCAGCTGGGATTCCCCAGGGGCTCCAAAGCGACACAGGAGGGCAATGCTTAGGCACGTGCATTTCTTCCAAAATTAACACAATAAAGTATAAAATAAAGGAAAAAAAGTAACTAAACAAAAATTAATATGATCGCTTAACTAAAAGCTGGGAAAATAATACTCCAAAGACATAATTTCACTTTGATATGCAGAATAAATCCCATACCTACCTGTATAAAAGCCAGTTGTAGATAATTGCTGCAAATTATCCAGGTCCCATAAAAATAAAGCGCACAATGGAATAGCTAAATTCACTGCACTTTGATGCTCTTTTTACTTCATATTTTAGAAGACTGATACATTTTTAAAGTTAAATACTGAAAACAATAATTGCTTTGAACTATTCTAGAGTGAACTTTTTTAATTCTAAGTACATATGCTATTTTTTCTCATTCAGCAACAGAGTGTTTTATACCGTCCAAAAGAAAAGCATTGTGACATTTGTATTTAAATAATTTATTGAAAAAGATATGGACACCTACGGCACAATTATTTCCCATCACTTCATAGTAAGTCCAAATTTTGAAAACATAAAATTAATTCACATCGTAATGTATTCCTCAGAGCCAAACCTTGGAGATTGTTCTCATCTTTCCCCTGGATAAATTCCTTCCAGTACCTAAAGGGAGCCCGCAGGAAAGCTGGGGAGGGAGACTGTAGTGATAGGACAATGGATAATGCCTTTAAAAAGGGGGCATAAAAGAGGGGAGATTTAGATTAGACATTGGGAAGAAATTCTTCACTATGAGAGTGGTGAGGTACTACCACAGATGTGGGTGCCCCATTCCTGGAGGCACTCAAGGCTGGGTTGCATGGGGCCCTGGGCAGCCTGAGCTGCTGGCTGGCACTGCCCATGGCAGGGATTGGGTGGGCTTTAAGGTCTCTTCCAACCCAAGCCATTCTGTGATACTATGAAATTTAGGCTGAAAGACAGAACTATTTATATTCAGAACTATTTATAATCATCAGAGCTGTAATGGGTTGGAACAAACCTCGTGTGGAATACAAGGTGGGCAGTACACCTCCTGCATGGGTTTTTCAGCAAGTTTGGTTTTAACAGCCAGAAGACCAGACTCAGCAGACCTGGAGTCCTCAAGCAATAAGCAGTGATGTCTTGATTCTTCATAATTCTGGCACAGCTTTCTCAGTGTTGTTATCAAAATTATGCTCTTTATATCAAAGAAATCTGCATCTAATAACCAGATGAACACTTAAGAGGTGACATAACTCTCATTTGAATAGACATTAAAATGATTGCGTGATTCTCAAGTTTTATTTATAAAGTAGAAAGTGAAACTCTACTGTTCTTTACTTCAGACTCAATCTGCAGCAATTCTGCTGATTTCAGTTGCTTCAGTGAGTTTACTTCAAGCTTTTATCAAAGTAAATGAGATTTGCATTCATCACCTTATTCTGTATGCCCTTTGGGGGAACTAAAGCCCAAAGCCCATCATAAAAACTGATGATTATCACTATTTGATAGTCACCATGGGAGGAGAGTTCACAGTGGTGAAGGTGACACACACAACTGCAAAAGGCAGGAGACATCATTAACCAGGCATTGGTTTGCTTCAACCACCCTCTGCCCTCTGTTCGTTATATGGCAGGGTTACGTAGTGCAAAGATTCTGAGAAAATATTCTCACAGTCTGCTTCAATGTAGACCAGCCAACTTTGTCTTGGTTTTTATTTGGAGTAACGTATCCTTCAAAAGCTGTATTTTAAAGCAAACTTTTTATTTTTTTTTTCTGTCACGGCCAAATTCTCCACTTCTGGGATTCACAATATTTTCCTTTTTCCAGAATGACACCTGCTGGTGGGAGAAGCATGGATGAATTACAGATATTCTGTGATTCAATAGCAGCTAACCTAACCATACTCTCTGAGCATGCTCATCACCTGTGTCCAGTAAACTCTTGATAATAAAGATCTGGAAATGTAAAGATACTATAAGGAGCATGTTGTAGAAGCAACATAGTTTTCAAATCTGATTTAATATTTGCTCTTATTAAATCACTAAGATACCATCCACCAAAGCGTTGCTTCAGTGGTGTTTCAGTGTCATATCCTAGTACTATTTTGGGAAGCCCTCAGCATGGATATGTCAAATTGAGGTGAAAGCCTGAACGAAATCCTTCCTATCCTATGCAAAAAGCTGCTGTGCTGCTTCAGACCTTTCAGTGTGAGTAAAACCAGCTGCTAACGCTATTATTGGTGCTTAACACTCCAAAAGATTAGCATCTCAAAGAGAAGCATTATGCACATGTCCCTCAACTGGTATACGAGGACATAGCTAGGAGAGACAGAAAGCAAGCTGTACCTTTGCCAAAACGATGACAAATGCTCCTCAATATGCCAGGCAGCATTAGGATCTGTAATGGATTTCTGTACCCACAGCACCTCTAATGTCTGGGGCTGCTGGAGAAGATTCCAGCTATAATGGAGCCGGACTTGAGCTTTTCATGCTTTCAGCACATTCACAGCAATATTTCCAAAAGTGATTTCCAATGCTCGAAACGTCCTCACTGTGGATGCACAATTTTATCTCCTTTTTCTGAGATGCTAACTACCCAAAGTCCCCTGTGATGGTAAGCTAAAGCGGAGGTGCCCAGGACCCTGAAGAAAACATATATATTGGACTACGAAAAATCTAGAAATCCGAATTATTGAAGCTACTCTCAGATAATTGCAGACAGTAACTTGTGGTCATGTACTAAATCATATTTTGAGACATGTATGATTTGAGCCCATCTTATGAAGAAATATTTGTGAAAAAAATGCCCAACTAAAAAGAAAACAGTATCAGAAATTAAATTTAGAACTAGAATTCAATGAATCCTTTTGAATTATTTGCAAGGCAAATGTAGAATCATAGAATGGTTTGGGTTGGAAGGGACCTTTAAGATCATCTAGTTCCAACCCCCTGCTATAGGCAGGGACACCTCCCTCTAGACCAGGTTGCTCAAAGCCCCATCCAGCCTGGCCTTGAATGCTTCCAGGGAGGGGGCATCCACAGCCTCTCTGGGCAACCTGTCCCAGTGTCTCTCCACCCTCACAGTAAAGAATTCTTCCTAATATCTAGCCAAATTCTACCTCTTCCAATTTAAAGCCATTCCCACTTGTTCTATTGCTCCATGCCCTTATAAAAAGTCCCTCCCCAGCTTTCCTGTAAGCCCCTTCAGGTACTGGAAGGCTGCTATAAAATCCCCCTGCAGCCTTCTCTTCTCCGTGCTGAACAGCCCCAGCTCTCTCAGCCTGTCCTTGTAGGAGAGGTGCTCCAGCCCTCTGATCACCTTCCTGGCCCTCCTCTGGCCCTGCTCCAACAGCTCCATGTCCTTCTTATGTTGGGGTCCCCAAAACTGGACACACATTCAAGTGTGTTCCTCTTGAGTAAATCATTAAAATATAGATAATGTTATGGCATACCTCATCACAATGCCAGAAGGCAAATTCTGTGCTGATTAGAGAATTAGAATGCAACTTAGGAGCTTTGGCTTGGATTCCTGGATTTGTCACTGGCCTCCTATATAGCTTTGAGCGGACAGCTTCACATCTCTGCTCCTCCAGTTCTTCCATCTGTGAAAAGACAATAACATTTTTATGTTTTATGATTTATGAAGATAGTTATGTGACGGATTTCCAAAGATTACTTTTATTTTGGAAAATGCAAGCACATGAAAAAAGGGGTATATTGCTGTAAACTCACTGGATAATAGGAGACACATGAGGCTGTTTGCTTCAACAGATACTTCAGAGATAGAGTTTCTTCAGACGTATTCCTTGTAAAATTCATCATGTCCAGCCAATGGTTGCACATACTTCTGGTTTTAGAGCCCTTGTTTGCCATGGCAAATGAAATACATGCATGTTATAGAAACAGCCCAGAGTCCAAACAAGCCTCTGCAAAAGGATGAGAGCTCTGAATTTGGTCAAATTTTCCTGCTCTCTTAACTCAGCCTATTGAATTTACACTGAATGGAATAACCTTACCGTTGGAACCACTTCCACATCCTTATCCTTTTACTCCACCTAGGACATTCTGAACTTCTACCATCAGTAGTCACCAAGTTACCAAGTATTTGTCCCAGAAGGACGAACGCTACATAACTGGGCATTACTTACCTATCACCAACCTGAACAGCAGTGCCTCTGCACAGAGGAAGTAAGAATGCTCCAGAGCATTGCATATATTTGTATTTCTCTTCTTTATTGCCTTTTTTTCCCCTTTCTACTCTCTCTCACTTTCTTTCATTTGGGTTCTTTGCCATCTTATAACCCTACCCTGAGCACCAGAATGACAGTTATTGATTCTCCCTCTGAAAACATATACTTTCAGCAGAAGCATCATATATTTTAAACTCTGTTAAGAGAAAAACAGAGGTAATCCACGCTGTAGTCTGAATCCACACAGGACCACTAAACACTGCACACTGTGCAGGATGTAATATCAATTCATGGAGAGAAAAATACGTAACGACTTCACCCAAACTAGCTGCAGGTAAATTCAATTAGAGAATTGCACCTTCACTTCTCCCCACTTCCTCTCTTTCTACTTCACTACTTCTCTCCCTTCTCAGAGAAAAAGAAATATTAAATACTTTGCTGTACCACAGCAAATTCTGCACTGAGATCCAGAGAGGTTAGATTTACAATATGCCCTTTTTCCATCAAATCAAAAAGTTCCAGATTTGTCATTTTCACACTTTTTTTTTTCCAAAATTGATTATTTCAATAGTTCTTTCTATTTACTAAGTACACTTTTTTTCCTCCAAGATCTGTTTTAAAGACTTGCGCCCTTGATCTTTTTACCCAGATTAACAAACCTGCTCTTGTCGCAGTGACTCTTCCCTTCTTGTAAGACACTCAGGCATGTGGTTTCATACACCCATTTTGTCTGAATTCTGGATTAACATCTATTCCACTCCACTGACTTGAGTATCCAGACTTTGCCCTATTTCTTCATCATTTTAGCCTGGAGGTCCAACGCAGATTCTATTTCATCTTGCCCCTGCCTTCAGTACAGAGCAGCCTTCCCCTCTTCCTCAGTGTTTTCTAGATGAAGAAGTTTTTGCTATTTCCTTCCATTGGTTCTTACTTCATTCCTACACATCCTGCTCTCTGACTCATCACTTTCTTTGTCGATTCCTCTTCTGTCTTTGCACTACCTACAGATGTATTTTCACTGGTGATTGCCCATCAAATTAAATAAGGTGCTCTCACCATTACCATTTTTTCCTTTGTTTCGTATACAAGTTCTGGATAGTTTTTACACTTGAGGGAAAAAAAGAAATAGCCTCTGCAGTTCAGCTCCTTGATTCTTCTTAATGCGGATGACTTCAACAGTTAATTCATGTAGCTTATCAAAACTTTTTATCTTCAAAATAAGGAACCTTAACTACAGTTCTGCTTCTATTTAGTCTTCTATTTAATGCAAATGCAATAGGCTTGTGAGTGTTTGTTTCCAAGTTCCTTATATGTTGTTTTTTCTTTTCTTTTTTTCACGGTCTTCATCAAAAGTAAATCTAAAATAGGTTCAGTTGAGAAGTCATTTGGTTACCTACTCTATCTATAGGTACATGGGCCCTACCTTGAGAAGTAAGGCCCTACTTCTGCATGTCTTTCACTAGAGATCACAGAATGAATCATAGAATCATAGAAAGGCCTGAGTTGAAAAAGACCACAATGATCATCTAGTTTCAACCCCCCTGCCATGGGCAGGGTAGCCAACCTCTAGACCAGGCTGTCCAGAGCCACATCCAGCCTGGCCTTGAAATACAGAGTTACATCTCTGTGTGAGATACAGATGAGAAATATCTAGGAAATATAAATCTTCCCAAAATATGTCATTTCCAGTTGTATTTATTCATCTAATTATACTATTTGCGACCTGATGATAAAGATGGAATGAGAGCTGCAGCATCGATCCAGAATGATCCCTACTTGTTCTAACTAATGTTTCTTAAAGAATGTTAACACAAATTTTGTGTTCAGCCAGCAAGTCCGTTCTTTTATTTTTCTGAGGGACAATTTGAGACAAATTTTTTCTTTTAGAAAGCCAGTATATAAAATTTTCAACTCCCAAAGCAAATGTATCATTAGATAGCACAAAACCTACGGCTGCTGGACTCCTGGCTGCCCTAACACTAGTATATCTCAAAAAAAGCAGCTGCCCAGCAGTAAGGAAGCCTCAGAGCTGGATATCCGAAAGGGGTAACAAGTTTGAGAATCTGGGAGGCCTGGAGGGGAGAATCAGGTAGGTTTGAGCCCCAACCAGCCTGGGAGGAGGGAGCCGGAGAGCTGCAAGCCCTCTCCACAGGTATGGAGGGAGCTGGCTGAGCTGAGGCAAAATTATTCCTTTCTAATGGTGTTCTGTTCTAATAGGTTGGAGCCCACCCTAAAAGTGAGCTCTCCCACCGTCACGACCCATTGCACCTTTGCTCAGAGCATCTCAGAGGCTGGCCCAGCAGGGACCCAAATACCCCCATCTGCTCCTTCGGGGTTTCACTGCCATACCTCGGAACATTAAAGTGGCCATTTCCAGCCCTTTCCCACTGAGAACATTTTGACACTGCTCTTCCCTACAGAGCAATAGCATTTCCAGTTACCACTAAAATATGTAAAACTTTCACAAGCATTAAAAATGTGAAGCAAGAGCAGCATTTCAGCCACCAGATGAGTAATACCTCTGAAGAAGACTTAACAAAAAGTTTGTGGGAATTTTTGTCCAGCTTTATTTACTGCTACAAATTGCTTACCAGACCGAGCCTGTTCAGACTGCTGTGCTTGTTACACCAGCAGAAAAACAGCTTTAACTCTGCAAGTCCTTTTTTTCTTGCAGTGTACTTTCACTCACTTTCACTAACACGATACAAAAATGATGCCTTGGGATTACAATTGCGTGATGGAAACTTTTTACTACACTTCAGTGAACCTTAAGGGAAAACACGTACATATATATACTGTGGATATTATGTGGATTTCCAGGAACCCTGTCAAAATTATCTCATGAAACATTAAATAAAAAAAAAAAAGACAACTAGAAAGAAAACTGCTTCATTAACTTCTTCCATTACTCACACCAACGGGTAGATGTAAGACTAAAACTAAAAGCATTATTTTCAAAAGCCTTTTGAAAATGTGGCTGGGTTTCCTACCCTCTTACCTCTGTGAGCCATGCAGAGAATGAGTAGTCTGTGATCTTCTGAGCATCAAAACACCACCTAAAGCAGCAATGTAATTCCAGATTACGTCCAAAATGCTGAATTGTTTAATCCATGAACAAACCACAGTGTACTTTGTTATACATCTGGGAAAAAAAAAAAAAAAAAAAAAGAGAAAGAAAGAAAAAAAAAATTAGGGTATGATGAAACAGAAAACTCTCTTTGTGGTTTTTTGTATATCATCCTTGCCACTTCCATAATTAGAGGACATAGGCTACCATTAAAGTCAATTGCAAAGTTCTCGTTGACTTCAGTAGATGTAAACCAGGCATTAATATTATGCTTTTCAGTTTTCTTGAGGTTTAAACACCCCATAAAATAAATTTACAGATGAACTAGTAAATGTACACTTACAAAGAAACCTCCTAAGGAGTCCCTGAAGCCATATTTTTAAATGCTGCTATTCATTTGGTTTCTATCGACCAGATTAAGGGACTGTCAAACAAGGGTGCATAGATCAAGAGCTGCAATAAGAAATGCTGAAAATACACTCCAGCAGTCTAATCTCAAAAATATCATTTGACGTACTTGACAAAATGGACTTAGAAGAGGGTTTCATGTTATGTGACATGTTTCACGAGTACAGAAAACCCTATCTATTTATTTATCTGTCTATCCATTTCACTGATCTGTAAATGAAAACATGTACAGTAGACACAGCATTTTTTTTTTTTTTCCAGGAACCCTTTCAAAACCACTCACATAAAAATACAAGAAAAGTTAATTGAGAATGAGAGTCTAACTGATGAGAAGTCAGAAACACTACCATCCGGAGCTGACATTTTCTTCTATACAACTATGTGCCCATTGGGCATAATTTTTGATCTTGCAGACTTTCCACATGTAAAACTCCAATTGACTTCAGTGCAAATGAATGAACTGCAGGATCTAATTAAGCCTGATGAGGTCTGAAAAACAATCTTATACGGTGCCTGAACATTTCCATGAATTACAAAGATTTTCAAGATACTTTGCCTAGCTCATTGCCAAATAAGCATCTGCAAATATTTAGAAGGATAATGTGTAAATATAAGGTGAGCATTAGATGATAAGCAGATATAAGGAGCTAACAGTTACCTGAACTGACTTGATGAAGGCTTTATTAATGGAACATCATACATGACATTACCATGCAAAGAGTGGTGATTGATGGATGACATTTGCATAATAATCTTGCACTACTGGCACAAGCAGAAAGGCTCTTTTGACAATTAATAACCACTTGGGAAATTTTTGCCTATTACCACACAGAAGCATGGTAGGAGAGGCAGGGATATTGTCCAGCTTTCCAGGGTAGAATTCAACCTCAACTGGAAGACCTTGTTTTCTTTTTCTACCACATCCTGATTCATTCAGGAAAATTCAGCTTCTCTACATGTGAGCTGGAGTTCTGCAGTTGCCATCCATCAATTCTGCTCAGTGCTGATTCATCTCCAAAGCAGATACATACTAGATGTATGGCCAAAACCATATGAGAATAGACAGCATACTCACAAAACTCAAGTCAGTGTTACAATGCAAACACGTTTTGGAAGCAAAACGAAACTGCAGAAATCAGTCTTTTATTCTTAATTTATGTAAACTGATTCTTGTAAATTCAGTGTTACCTTAACATGGCGTTCTCCATATACCTGCTGTTACAAAACTAACGAACCTCACCTGTTCTGCGTTCAGATGTGGAGTACTCAGTACAGAAGAGACATGGAACTGTTGGAGCACATCCAGAGGAGGGCCACAAAAATGATCCAAGGGATGGAACACCTCTTCTATGAGGACAGGCTGAGAGAGCTGAGGCTGTTCAGCATGGAGGAGAGAAGGCTCTGAGGTGATCCGAGAGCAGTCTTTCAGTATCTAAAGGGGGCTGTAAGAAAGAAGGGGACAGACTCTTCAGCAGGGTTTGTTGTGATAGGACAAGGGGAAATAGCTTCAAACTAAAAGAGCAGAGATTTAGACTGGATGTAAGAAAGAAGTTATTTGCAACAAGGGTGGTGAGGTGCTGGAACAAGTTGCCCAGAGAGGTGGTGGATGCCCCATCCACCCAAGGTCAGGCTGGATGGGGCTCTGAGCACCGGATGGAGCTGTAGGTTTCCCTGTTCATTGCAGGGCAGCTGGACCAGATGGCCTTTAAGGGTCCCTTGCAACTCAAACGATTCTATGATTCTAAGACTATTTCCACTATGTGGCATCATACCCACAGAGACCCATCATCTGGGACAGTGTTCTCAGGCCCACACAGACTGACAGAGAGACTGATGGCAAAGAATCACAGAATGGTGATCTAACTGAAATTGGGAAGGACCTTAGGAATCCATGTGGTCCATGCCCCAGTCATAACAGGACTAATGTCTACATTACATTTGGCTTCCAAGACCTTCTTGGCCATTCTCTATGTCCATTCAGGAAAGTGGCAAAGAAACCGTGCTGGAGGCTGGCTGCAAATGATAAAATTTGAGAGATCCACATTTCCCTTAAGGGCAACAGGGACAGGCTGCAGGTCCAAGTAAAGGCCAGAGGCAATACCAGAGGGGTCACTTCCAGCGTAGCCACTGGTGCACCCAGCTGGTGACTGCTCAGCCACTCTGTGAGTACGATGTATGGAAAGTCTGAGCATGGGAAGGAGCTGTGTGAGGCAGAGAAGATGAAATCTCTGGAAATATTTGCTGTTAGGTCTTAGTAAATCTCTATGGAATATTTGGTAACTGTGTTTTTTTCCACTTCTTGAAACAGTTGACCAAATTTGAAAAGCTTTGTGGAGATGGCAGAAGACATATACCTGATTCAAAGGAAGAGAAAGATCTGTCTTTGCTCTGAAACTTCTTAAAACTCAGGGTCGCATTATTATTATTTCTTTTTTCTTAAGTAGAATAACAACATGGGTGTTTTTGTTGTTGTCTTTTTTTTTTCCTTTACCAGCCTTCTTATAAGCAGTTAAATCACTTATCACTATGGCTAATACTTTAAAAAAAAAATTCTAGAGAGTGACATCCCATATAAATACATTTGACCCAAATGTGAGTTTGGCTAAGTTCTAAACTGAGAACAGAATCTTATAGCAGAAAACATTAGGAAAACTTCCTCAGGGGCAGAGCTGCCCATCCTGCCTGCAATACTGTTTATTAAGCACTTTGGAATCCGTAGACACGAACAGAACCATGTAACCAAAGCTTCTGGACTGCATTGCCCCACTCCCTTTTTCTGCTGCAGTAACTTACTGTTAATTATTGTTATGAACCACAGCTGGCTGGTGGGAGCACCAGGCAAGCATGCTTTCCTCTGGAACTAAACTCCGGGAAAAGAAAAAATTCTGAATATGCATTGCATCAGGATTAAAGACAAATTGTGAAGTTTGCTTCCAGAGCAAATGCTGGTGCATTCAAAGCCTATTAAGGTACAGGGGAGGGAGTGCCAAAGGACGAGAGCACTCTGCAAATACAGCTGCAATTCCATGAAGTCAGAGCAAGCAGCCCACAAGATGAAGTAAGTAAGGGATGCAGTGTAACAGCCCACAAAACACAAACGGATCTTGCTGTTTAAACTATTTAGGCCACGAGACCCAAAAACTGATGAAATTAAACATAAAAAATACGGCCGTTGTCTTCAGGTCAGGTTTTACTTGTGGATTTTATCTTACAGCTCTAAATCCCAATTGTTAAAATGTTTTCTCTATTGTCATTATTATTAAGGTATTTATTTTTAGGCTTCCAGTATGGGACATCACTAACTGGTAAGGGATCATGGGCGAACTGTCCATCCTGTGGCAGTCAGCAGAAAGTTTGCTACTGATTTCGGAGATGTGAGATTTTTACCTGCAGGAAATCAAGGTAAGTGGGAAATAATATACATTTTATCCAATTAAAAAGTGAAGCTCATGCATTTTCAGGTTCTCAGCCCACAGACATTTCCTTTTTCTGTCAGAAAAATACAGTTGGGAGGATATGTAACATAAAGTACAAAAAAGGTGCTGTAACACAGAGAGGGCCAAGGGGGCCAAGGCTGTAAATTCCTTCCATCGACATGGTAATCTGTATTTGTAAAAGGCCAATATTGAGCAGGCAGCGAAAACAGAAATGCATAACCACATCACATTGTTCCACTGCCAAAAACATTCATACTAATTTCCACCATCAAACGCACAGTATGATTACTTAAAGGTTTTTTTTTTAACCAATCCAACTTATAAAAACAAAATCCTCAAGATGGTGTAACTTCACATTTTCATATTCTGTAACATGAATATCCATCAAATTGGCAACAATCCTTACCTTGTGTACAAGCCTCCTTCAGGGTCATTAATGTGGAATCAACTCCTTGCAGTAAGTAAACACTTTTTTTCCTTGGTTTTTATGTTGAAAATTGAAAATTAATCTTGCAAGTCATGTTGAACCAGGAAAACAGGGTTGACAAAGCAAGCACTGTAGTCTGATATCTTTTATTAGGCCAACTTAGAGTTCAAAAATATGCAAGCCTCCTTGACCACACACAAGTTCATGTATGCAGAACTCCAGGCTGGACCCATAAAATGGATTAAACTACTTGCTTTGTCACTCCATATATATATATATATATGGAGTATATATATATATATATACACACAGTATATGTATGTACATATATACAGTATATAATGAACATGCATATACATTTTCAAGGCTTCAGAATAAACTGTTCTTTGATGCAGCTTTAAAATAACAGCTCTGAAGGACTTCTGCTGGTTGGCATGTAACCATGCTATGGGTCAACAGGTTTCATAAAGAAAATTTAGCAGTGCACACAACAAATCCTACTTCTGATTCCTAATGAGTTGTAATTCCTATGCAAAAACTCATGACTTTCACTAACTGCTAAATATTATTAGCAGTTCCTTTCCTTTAATGGTAATAATGAGAATAGCTGGCAATATAGTAATATACTAGGAATAATAATGTAATTCACGCAAAGTTTTGTAGGAAGAACAATAAAAAGGTTACTAAACTTACAACTCTAACACTTCAGAATGTTCTATGCAAGTAAAACCCTCTGTAAATGGATATGTCTCTCCTGCACAAGAATTCAAGTGTTTGTAACGTTGCTATGTGCCCACAGCAAGGTGTGTGCATAACCTGCTCACCTCTGCTTTTCCTCCCACAAGCATGTATCAAGATCACCACCCAGCTCTTCAGCAGCCCTCCATCCAGAGGATGAGTCATCTGCCTGCAGAGCAGAAGGGCACTGGTGGGAGATCTATTCCAAAGAACATGCAAAGAATTACAGGAACGAAAGGAATTGCTCTTCTTTCTTCAAGTTCTGGTGACTGGGAAACTCCTTAATGGTGTTTCATTAAAAGGGCAGTCACGTCAGTAAAAGCTAGCTTTGTTAGGACAAAAACTGAAGAAGCAGTGCCTTTCTGCAGTGTCAAACCTCTGTGCTACTATCCTCAGCACTGCTTCCCAAGTGTGAGTATCAGCAATTGTGTGGTATCTCTGCATCCCTCATCTGCTGGAATTCAGCCAGCATGGGCTGTGGCAGCATCTTGTATTCTAGTTGTGCATGCCTTGATAAGGGCTGGTGGATCTAATCTCCTTACATCAAAGGTGGCTCTGATGCAGGCTGGTAACTCATTTTGAGTGCATTTGAGGCCATGGCTAAGTATTTTAAGACTCATTCCTGTACAATAAAGGCTGTTTGTGACCAAAGAGCATCACAGATTTGCTGAAGAGTTTCGTCTACCTCAAGTAATACGTTAATGGTCTGCTAACATTCAAGGACGATCAACATTTTGATCCTCTTACCAGTGAACTGGGTCTTGGGAAAAAAAAATATTGGTAAGTGGATATACTGATTCATAAGAAACCTGAAACCACCTTTAGAATACATTTAAGATGTTGCCTCAGAGTCACCCTATCCACCTGAAAATAATATGGAGGATTAGACATAAAAGCTAGGACTTTATTTATCCGTGAGCTGAGGTAATGGCTACTAAAAATGTGGATTTCATTGACAGATGACTTAGTGAACGTGATGACAGCAGCTCAAACGTGGCTCCATTAAAGATAAAAGTAACATGCTTAAATCTCATGAGAAGGGATTTTTTCTTATTGGTAGAGTATGTATGTCAAGACCTTTAGAAACCTAAGAACCACATAATGAGAAAATAACGAAGAATCAGCACTCGTAAGTGTCTGACTGAAGTTCCCACTAAATGGGCTTTGATAGATCATTTTTCTCCTGGCAACAAAGACACCAGAAGGATTGTCTGGATTGTAGCTCTTACTGCAACCTATGATGAAAAAGACTCCTATAGCCAAGTAGAAATCCACAGAGAGGACTTTCTCCCTAGAAATAGCCATGCATTTTTTGCACTTCTAAAGTGAATCTAGTCCAGAGGTATCATCTGAGAACATCAGCACCACCAGAGGCAGAGGAGATGCTAAAACAGTACTGGACAAAAACATTGGGCCATTGTGTTCTTTGAAGACTGTTTAACCAGTAACTGGAAAGATTCTGAAGAACTAAAACCAAAAATGAGCTTTTGGTTGTGAGAGCTCAGCCTCCACTGTTGCAGAGCCAGCTGTACAAACTTTGCAGCCTTTCCTTGTGCAGCTGGCACCAGTGAGGGTGGCTGAAAGGTGAGCTGAGAGCAGCCCCCCTTCCTCCGTGGGTTTCAGTGACAGCTGACTACAGCTACTGCATGGGTCTCCTGGAAACACTGACCTTGGTGACAGTGGTGGCCTTTTTTGGCCCTCAGTATCAGCCCTCCCATTAACAAGACACTAACGGTGAGATTCGTTTAGTCACTGGATAGACACAGACAATTCTAGCATGATACAGAATCATAAAAGAAATGCCAAAAACACATCAGATGAATAATTCCCCAGAATTATCTACTCCTTACCACTGACAGTAGACACTGCCTAAGGTGACACACTTCAGTGCAAATATTCATAGAATCATAGAATCATTTCGGTCAGAAAAAAACCTCTAAGTTGATCATCAGGTCCAACTGCTAATCCCGTACTGCAGGCATCTACATTTAGAGTACAAGAATTCCACCCTAGATACTTGCATTTTGGAAGAAGAACACAATGTGACGTGGATGCACTTGTGAGTTGATATTATCATGTCTTCCACATTACAAAGACTGGCTATTTTGACTTCCAGATCTTCTCTGGGCGTCCACAATGAATGCCAAACTGCACATTTGGGAGGATACTGACCTATTTCTTAAGAGTGGAACACTGATTATGGCCACAGCATTATACTTCATTAACATGTTAATATGTTAGTATAGCAACTGTGAAGTTCAGTAGTAACAAAATATCCCTCACTATAAATCCAGGCAAACACCAGTGCTGATCTACTTCTTTGACAAGGAACCAAAGGGCAGAGACCTGCAGAACTGGAGCTGGTTTTCACCCACGCATTGAGTCCTGCGCTGAGAAAGGATATGCTGTGTTTTAATGGACTTGGAGAAAAATGTGCTTTACAACAAGATTACTCCACAATAGTTGCCTAAGGAAAAACAAAGAGTAGGCAGGTGAGAGGCAGCACTGTTCCATGCAAACAAAGAGATGAGAAAGAGGTATGATTGAGGCTCCTACTTCCAGTTCCTACTGTTGTGATGTTCCAAACTGCTGTAACGTCTTTCTTAGAGACATTTATTATGTTATTCCAATCATTTTTCCAAGGTAGAGTAGGTCTACAGATCTCATTTGATACGTTTACAAGGAATTAGCAGTAATTAATGATGAAGGGTATAATAAATAAATCTGCTAATCTGACCAGATGTAATTAGATACATAAGAATGAGATGAAGTGAGTTGAAATGTCTCTAAACTCCATTGATTGCATTGGCTAACTTGATCACAAAGGGCACTTAGACACCCACTCACATGTGAACATCTAAGGTTACCCAAATACCTAAAATCTTCCTGAGGCTTCACAACTTGCATTGCCAGATGCGTGAGTATTCCAGACCAGCTTAGTGCTTGTGGTGGCAATGGTGATGAGGAGACAGTTGGACTAGATGATCTTGTAGGTCATTTCCAACCTTGTGATTCTATGATTCTATGATTCTATGAACTAAATGATCTCAGAAAATGCAGGAAGAGTCTGAAAACAAAGGTAGACAACTCTACTGAGATGAGAATAAGGCTCTACACTTAAGCAACGCATAGAAAGTGAAGGATAATAGGTTAAGCAGCAGTTAACAAAAAAAAATATGCTAGGATTATAGCTGAATAATCTGAAGATGATTCACCAATGTCATATTGTTATGGGGAAAAGAAAAAACAGTCATAATGGTAGGACACATGATGGGAAGTATGCCTTACAAGGGATATTAAGGAATCTTTCCATTCATTTGGCATGAATTGCATTGCTCAAAGCTTTGGGCACTGTACATCGAGAGAGATGTGGAATAAAAGCTGTAAGAGGGGCTGGAGGTCAAGAAAAATAAGTTATTCTCAAACTACTTTAGGTCAAGAAACAAAAGAGATAGCAATCGACTTGCAGCAAAAGAGGTTCAGGTTATAGAGCAGGCTTGTCCATTTAATTTGCACATGTCAAAAAATAGTTTTCTAAAATGATTAAGCACTGGAGTACACTACTGAAATCTCCATTCTTGGAAGTCTTAAATAACAAGTCTGTAAAATATCTGTTAAGGAGAATGTAGGTATATATCATTCTGCCTTGTTCAGACAGAAGGAAAAGATGGATTCTAGAACTGAGTGGTAACAACACATCTTAGAAATACAGAAATAAAAATATGACTTGCCTCTCTCAACAAGTGTAGCGTATCCAGATTTAGGACACTCCGACTTACTTCATTCTTCCAAACAAAGCCAGCTGGTAATATTACCTGTTCTTAAGACAACAAAAACATTCTTTTAAACCGACATGTTTTAAAAACAGATGACCAGTTACAAATTTAAAAAACAAAAGTAACTACACATCAACATCATTGCTAAATATGTACGTACAAATCAAGCAATTTTAACACTTACTGTATAAAAATCAGATTTGCATTTCCAGTCACATGAACTACCTGGCATAGTAAACACACACATATTCCGTAGTAAGTAGTGTTACCACACAGTACGTGCAATATCATGCAGTGTTTTTGTGTTTTTTAAGCTGCTTGTAAGCTCCCTGGAACAAAAACACCAAAGAACATTTTCTGACTTGAACAAATGAAGCAGCAGCATCTCTGCCATATGTAAAGATCACTTTCCTTTTCCTCAGTGCCTTCCCTGTAGACTGATGTTAGCACAGATCCAGAAGTATGACTTCATTCTTTGATCTTTTAAAAACAGATGGGCTGGGGATCACCATGAAAACTGCAGCTTCTTAATCTTCTAACATAACTGTTAAGACCATGTACCTTCTCAGAAATCGTGCCAGTTGTTTGCACTGAGTTAAGGCAATTTTCTGGCATTAAATTTCAGTGACTCTGGCAGAAGGTCAAAAATACTTATAAGTTGTTCTAGAAGGCCCTAGCATATCCCCATATTTCTGTGGGGTCCTGTGACAATGTTATGGAGTGTTCCAGCAAAGCAATGTTCAGAAGCAGAAGCGTAAACGTGGCAATTCACATTTTAAAGCTACGCGTTCTTTTGCATTTGAACAGAAGAACAAATCACCTGCTGCCCTCCTGCAATGAATTATCATCTCACTGATATCTGTTTCTTCAGAGTTTTTACCAAGGTTTAGAATTCAGTTGAGTTTTCCAGTTCCCTTTCACATCAGACATTCTTATCTGTATCACAGTACTTCAGGTAAAAATCCAGTGTAAATGGTGTTATTCATGCCCTGCAAACTGCTGTAGTTAAATACATACAGTGGCTCTTCCATCAGCCTCAGGAAAATGCTCTTCAAAACTGTTGGTTAGCACATTGGTCATTTATATACTAAGTCTAAAAGGGCGGTCATGCGTGCCACCAGGATTTTAGTATCTGTGACTCCACAAATTAACAAGCTTATCAGATATATCAGTTTACAGTAGAATTCCCATGCTGATGTTGGCTTCCTTAAGCAATACAGAATCCAGCAGATCCACAGCAGGCGCTGTCATCTGGAGCTCCATCAGCAACAGCATCTGTAGCCACAGGTTAGCATGGACAGGTTAGCTTCTGGCTCTGTCAAAAACGTGATCAGGATTTGTCTACACAAGGTGCCTTGGAAAATCAATCTGGGTCAGCCGAGTAAACTCTATTGGATTTAAACTCTGTAAGTTTTCATATTTATGAGTGTTCAGTGTTTAACACTACTCAGTGTTTTAACACTATTCAGTATATCTGAATTTGAAAACTATCAACTCTCCTACCTTACAGAGATGAGTTTTTGATGCCAAGAACTCCAGCACTGGTGGTTTCTTAATAGGGACTTGCAAGCAAGATTTATTCAGGTGTAGGAGAGGCTCTATGTAAATCCACAATTCTTAACTAAGCTGCAAGAAGAATGATGGCAATTATGAAAGAATTAATAGTCAGCAACCAAGAGGCTCATCTCTGTATAGAGGGTTATAACAGGAGACATTTGGGTGTTAAATATTTAGACAATGCCTTACTGACATCAAGTTTTCCTAAAGTTCATGGGGCACTGTCAATATGGTGGTTTTGCCCCTCTTTCCATAATAATTTATACAGACCAGAAATGACTTACACAACCGAAATAAACCTTCTTAACTGAAGCAAAACTACTTAGCTTGACAATATACATCTAAAATACAGATGTCCACATCTGACCTGTCAGATCACACTGTACACAAAAGTATATTTCTCTGTACAATTCCCCTCCAGAACAGATTAGATGGATTATACGCTCAAAATGTGTATTTTTCTTCTCTGTATATCAAGCGGTGTGATATGACATGAAATATACACTGTACACTTCTAGAGACAAATTACATTAATATATATTGAATTTTCCATTAGCCTAGTATTTGTTTCATTTCGGCATGCCCTACTATAGATGATCGAGTTAACGAGTGCAGGTTTCAGATCTCTGGATTTGCATATGTTTTACATCCCCGTCCCTGTGCAGATCATAGAATCACTGCACTTGGAAGAGACCTCTGAGAGCACTTAGTCCAGTATCAGCCCATCCCACCATGCCCACTGACCACATGCCTCAGTGCCACAACCACACTGCACTTGAACACCTCCAGGCTTGATGACTCCACCACTTCCCTGGGCTCTTTCTTAACATATTTGAGCAAAAGTAACATTTTAATGTTTTGCTTTTGGTGTGTTCTAGAGATCCAACTGTTTTCTTTTACTACAAATATCCTCTGAAGGTCGCTCCTTGTGATCACCATTGTCTCAAGACACTACATTCAGCTGCAGAAAGGACAAAGGGAGAAAAAGCTCTAGGGCAGTGTCTCACATCAGATCGCTCTAGAAACTCACCTGCCCTTACCATGATAACTTGTAAACTTTGCCAGATGTTCCTCAGCTCACGAGCCCCACTCCTCCAGCACAACCTCAGCCAGGCTGATGCCTCCATTCACAGACAGTGCATTCACCTGGGGCCATAACTTGGCAATTGCTGATCCATGCTCTTTATCAAAGCTTAAATTATGTGTAGCTAGTCTTTTTGGATGAGACTAGGTGGTGACATACTAATCTAGTTTCCTTCTGTAACAGGATAACAGATGGGAGAAGCAGGAGGTGTCATATCTTGACTGTTATTCACACTGACATGCATTATTCTTCTATCCAAGACAGAAACACAGTTTAGAGGAAACTAATACAGGATGAGTACAAAATGGTTATGAAGCCATTCACCAGAAGCATTTATCAACAGAGAATTGTTGAAATTGAAGGCTGTATAAGAGTAAGTCTGGGATTTCTCAATATTTCCATTACCAACCTAAGGGATGGAAGATAAAATATGCTTATTCGTTGTTGCAAATAATTCCAAGCTAAGAAAGGATGCCAGCTCACTGGAAGATGGGACAGAAACTCCGATGATCTTGACAAATTGGAGAAATAGTCTTGGGGTCTAGTTTGAGACACAGCGAAAGAAAGATTGGATGAGTTCAAAAAGGAGATAAGACCTCTGTGAAATAAAAAAGACTGGTATGATTTAGTCTAGAGATGACTACAGAAAATATGCCAAGAAAATGATGGTTAAACACTGGCATAGATTGCACAGAAGGGTGTGAAATCTCCATCCCTTGATGTCTTTAGGAACAGGCTAACATCTGTCCAGCAAAACAAAGGGACAGCAGGTCAAGGGGGCACAGGGAGAGGCTGAATCATCTCCAAGCTGATACTGTCATCCAGGATGCAGTCATTCTGCATCTTCTAAAAAATTAGTTGGAAGTAGCTGTGTTTAGAAGAATTGTACAAAGACCAGCATTTCTCATTCAGCATTCTCAGAGCTGAATGAACCTGAGCTTTTTGGTTGTTAGAAATTCAGTAAGTCTGCTAGCTCTCAGAGTTCACTGCGCTAAAGCTAAGGCAGTCAGACAGCCTGCTTTTATAATGCTTCCATTGAATAAATTTGCAAAGCTGCTACCTAGAGTCCACATTATTGCTCAGCGCCACTTTGTTAATTTGGAATCCAGATCTGGTGGCTGATTTAGGAAAACAGTTCAGCTAATCCCCGGTGAATAGAAATCCTCAGCCTAAGATTGTATGGCTCACCAGATTCCCACATGTGCAAATGCAGCAGTTGCCTTGCAAAGGGAGGTTGAAATATCCAGTACAAACCTCAGGGGGGGTTCACATGACATGCAGGAGCTCCAAAAAGCTGAGGTAGAGACAATTGCAACCTGCACATGCCTACATGCAGAACAGCTTTTCTGTACATGGAAAGTGCATATGTGTATTCTAGAAAGCAGTTCTGTCAGGAGAGCATGCAGAGTTAAAAATGATAATTCTGCTAATTAGTCTTGCCTACTTTCTTTGGTCAGCAAATACAATTAGCATGTATACCCCCATGATAGCAACAATCTATAGATTTCAAACTGTTTTCACGTAATTGCCTTCTGCATGATAAAACAGAAACATGTCTGTCATTACAGGAAAGCTGTGCAGATTGCCTTCTGTCTCTCACATAGCCCTGGGCTGACCTATTGGCCTTTGGGAAGTACAAGGCCCACATATTCCCTCAGACTTGGTAGCAGGTGGGCTAGGATAGTCCTGGGATGCTGAGAGAGGCCAGTCAGGGGTATGTTATACATTGTGCCTGCTCCTGCAGTAGTTGTTCAAGCTCAGAAATAAATAAGTAAATGTAATTTAATTTATATATATATATATAAAATTAGGAATACAAAGAAAATTTATTCTTCCTCAGGGTTTTTATAGAGACGTAGCAATTGCTTTCTAAGGAGTCCTTCTGAGTGGCACTGCCTTCCTGCTTTAGTAAGGGTTGGTCTCCAGAGGTCCCTTCCAAGCCCTACAAGTCTGTGACTCTGCTTTAGAGAACAGCTTGAGTGCAAGAAAGAGTAGCACCTACTGTAGCCCAGTACAGAACTTCTACCTACACACTTCAGAGGAATCCCCCTGATAGGGTCCTTGCATCATCTCACATCATTTACAACAGGAGCTTTGAAAACATTGTGCCAGCAGTCCAGTTATTGACTGGACCACGGAATTGACCATGTGACCACGGTACCTCAGGCACATGTCATCCTTTCCTCACCTTGCTGGGCCTTCCCATCCCATCCTCATCCCATAGCATTATTATTTTTTTTTTTTTTGTATGGGATTAACCTTGAAGACTATTGGTACCTTTCCAGCATGGCCAATGATTCTCTCCTGTTCTCAGGAGGGTCAAGGTTTACCCCCACACCATCTAAATGCACTTGCATACTTACACCACCCAAAGAGAAACAGCTGCTCAGGATTTGGTTGCCCAACGATCCCAGGTGACACTGAAGGACTTGAGCCTTTGTCCCACATAAGAAACCAAGCACCAAGAAATTCAGGGTGCTCTCCAATGCATGACAGTCTCACATGATAAACTCAGCCAACGTTTCTGAACTTACTGATTTAAGCGCACGGTGATGACGGGTTGAAACTGATGGTCTTGGAGGTTTTTTCCCAATCTCTATGGTTCTTTGACTGGGCTTGGTGGTGATGGGTTGATGGTTGGACTTGATGGTCTTAGAGGTGTTTTCCAACTCTAAGCATTGCTTGTCTGTTTCCTGTAATCTGTAGGTACATATACAAAGCAAGGCTACAAGTAGGCAAAGATATGCAGATTGTGTTGACTAAGTTACAGCCCTTGCATCATCGTGTGCAGTACAGACACTCGATGTTAGCTATAATGAATGGCAAGCTGCATTTGCTGAAATAAGGTGGTGATTAAGTGATGAGCAAATATTTTCTGAATATCATTTTACACGGACACACTTTTAATAACAAACAAGGCATCTTTTTTCATGTAACATTTTATAATTTTTATCTGCCTTGCTTCTAACCTCATTGCTATAATGCAATGACCACATATTGGGAACGTGCTGCAACTCACTGGAAGCTAACAGAACTGCTGCATGGAGTAGGGTGCCTTCTGGGTCCCCAGGAAATGATCATTCCCAAAGGAATGCTTCTAAGCTAAGCAGGCAGCATACAGACAGGAGCAGAGCAGGGGACCGTGCTTACACAGCCGTGTCTCCCCAGCCGCAAATACGCACGCTGCGTGCCTCAAACCACTTCCATTTGTATCTGCACGGATGGATGTCAGAGATATTGAGCAACGTTTCTCTGTGCATTAGCCCTTCAGTACGCAAATCCTCCCCGTTTCTCTTCCCGGAATTCCCCCTAGAGCAGTTATTAATTAGAGGCAGAGAAGCAGCATTAACTTATCTATTAAAAAGCTGAAATGTAAATTCAGATGGATGCAGAGAAACACTTTTTCTCTATTTACTCTTGATTTACATCTCGATGAGTCAAATCCCCACAGTCTCATCGCGAAGCCAAACAAATTCATCAGCGATTGAAATCGCCTCGTGGGATCGTGCAGCACCACGCACGTCTTTAGTGAGCGCTATTGAGAAGGTGCGCAAAGAGCTCCACCGGGTCGCAGCGTGCGGGCACTGAGGGGCGGCTGATGTCCCGGGGCACGGGGAGGGCTTACAAAACCCACTGACATAAAAAGAGAGGAAAGCAGCAGGTGTAGAGAAACCAGAAGGAGCCGATTTTAGCAGCTGGAGGCGAAATACTGATTTTTTCCATCCAGGAGACGCGAAGACGCGGACGCTTCGCAGGCAGAGAGAACGCGGCGCTCTCTTCCCTTCCTTTTCCTTCCCCTTTCCCGCAGCTCCCGCCCAGAGCCGCTGGTGCGGCCGAGCTGCAGCCGGGGGCCGGGAGGGGCTCGGAGCCCTGCTGCTCCGCCCGGCCCCCAGGTGCGGCTGTAGCCTCCGCCCTGCACGGATCGGCCCGGCCCGGCCCTGCTGCTCGATGCTCCTCGCTCCCAGGTCGTCCCAACACACTCGTAGCACCGTCTCGACTGCCCCACACCATCCTAGCGCTGTCTTCCTGGAGAGAACCCCTCCGGGTGCCCTCATTGCGAGGGTCCCGGACAATCACGGGGGAGGAGAGAAGGAGGGAGGGAGGAGCGGGGGGGAACACAGCTTCCAGCCCAGGTGCGTTGTTTGCAGTTTCCACGTCCAGTTTCCACGCCTCGGACAAACTGTCTCGGGGCGTCAACTTCGCAGAAAATGGCCGAACGCGAATTTTTTTTCTGCGTTTGCACTCGTTTTGCATTTCCCCCTCCCGCAAAGTCGGGGCTGAAGCCAGGAGATAAAGAAGGGCAGCGGCGGTGAGCGCTGAGCGGCCCGGGATAGGCGGGGGGAGGTGAAGGCAGAACCCCGGCTCCGGCCGCAGCCCGGGGGGGGGGGGATGGGGCACGGAACGCTCCGGGGGCAGCGACCGCTGCGCGGGTGTCTGCGGGGAGAGATAAGGACCGGGCCCGAGAAACTGTGACAATGAAATAGCGAGAAGCGGGGATCGCTTGGAAGCAGCTGCAGCTCCGCCGGGTCTCTCAGAGAGGGGCGGGGGGACAGCGAGCGCACATGGCACGGGACGTGGGGCAGGAGGACATGGGGACAAGGGGGATATAGGGACAAGGGAATATAGGGACAGGGGAACACGGGGATATTAGGAACGGATGGACATGGGGACGGGGGGCCATGGAGCAGGGGGATATAGGGACACAAGGACAAGGAGATCTGGGGACACAGAGACGGTGGCAGCGGGAAGAGGGAGCACAGTGGGCAGAGCGGGAGCAAAACTGAAAGTCCTAAATCGCCCCAACACGCATTTGTCGGTGCGATGCTGAGGGGTGAAATGAACGGAATTCACTCACAGCCCCTGAAAGTTTTGTTCTTTTATCTTTTCTTTTCTTTTCTTTTCTTTTCTTTTCTTTTCTTTTCTT